TCGAGACTTCGAACGTCCGTCCTACTTGTTGTCAGAATCAAAGCTCCTCCGGCTTTGCAGGACTTTCTAGAATACGATGAGACAATCACATAACAATTAATATTAGTAGAATCTAATTCCTGCTCTTTGAACTAATGTTCAGTTACACATACACAATCATAGTTTTTGTCAGCTAAAAAGGCGTCAAATTCATGAATTTTGTTACGAAACGACTCTGAATTTATATGCAATATTGAAATTTTTTTATCCTTCGATGTTATGTCGACGTTCGACATTGTGACTGGTCGTGGTTTTGAGTTTTCCCTAAAAAACGCTGACCTCTGTGAAAATTGAATCGTCTAAAACATTTGGCCAAAATTTTCTCCGGTTGATTTGTGTTGAAGCGGCACGCCGATAATGAAACAGTTATTACATTTTGTTTTTTGATACGGTGATACTTGCTTGACAACTATAGTTGCTCCTTCTTCTTTCAATTGCTTTGAAACATAATTTCTAACAGTTTCTTCTGTTACATCATCTTTGACCCTTGATACAAAAAGCCATATCCTTCGCTCAGCTCCTACAAAGTTATTTTCATCCACGTTTTCTCCCACGGAGATTTTATTTCGTTTTCTTTTTTTTTCCACAATTTGGAAATTCTCCTTACCAGCTGAGTCAACTCCATTTTGGTTAGTATCATTTAGGAACGTCGTCGGTTTTGAAGTTTGTGGATTTGTCCTCTTTTGCTAGGAGAGAATGTGCATTTATACTACTTGAAGCGCTCGTCATGGTACCGAATATTTGCTTATATTTTTCGCTGAATGCCAAAGTCCACTTTGAACCCAACCCCCTGCACATAAAATAATAAATCTTATAATATTATTATAGACCGAGGTGGAAAGTGTCTCATTCCTTTCAAGAGAAAAGATAGTTTGTATACGGTTTATTCATAATCGTTTTTAAAAAATAACATAAAAATTGTCATTTATAATTTCACAAGTACTATATTTTTTTAATATTGCACTTTAACTCCAAGAATATGATAATTATTACTTAGCAGTCCCTGTCGAGAAAAGGGAAATTTTTCCCATCTTAAATTACATGCAGTGTTTTTACCGATTCTTAACCAAAAAAAATTGATGATCTATTTGGTCAAAAACCTTCTTCAGATCATCAAATTTTACTTGGAAAATTAGATAGACTCGGCTTTACTTAACCTCTGGTACAACTATTCCGATTCCATTTGTTGAACAAACAATTTTTTGTTAGAGATCTAAACTTTATTTCGACTAGTTTTACTCCCGCCTCTGGAGTGCCGCAAGGTTCAAATCTTAGTCCTTTACCACTCCTGCTTATAATTCTTCAATATGATATTGAATTTCTGATTCTTTGGTGTCGCCTTAATCGACTCACACTTATTAACAGATTGTGGTGAATAGAAGTAACTTTTTCAAAGAAGCAAATACTGATTCATTATGACTATAATATGGATCGTACTATTAAGAGATTTACTATGTATAATGACTTGGGAATTTTATTCGACTTTCAATTTACATTTATCGAACACATTAATGACGTCGTTAAACATACGGCTTTTTATACAACAATTGTAACGACTTTAATAACCCATAATTCTTGAAAATTGTGTTCTGCGCTTTAGAATACAGCAGTCTAATTTGGTATCGAATATGCGTAACTCATTGTCACCAGATTCAATATGTCCCAAGGGAAACTTCTTAAGTTTTTAGCTTTTCTTGAAAATGGTGTTTATCCCCCCCCCCCCCCATCACGTATTTTTAAAAATCAGTATTTCAGTTATTTATGTAAGTTTAGGAACGCGGTTTTCACCACTGGTTTCAACTTATAGAACTCTAGAACCCAAGAACCATTATCTACATATTATTTTTTTTTTGTTGTAAATGAAAATCCGTTTTTTCGGAAACATTGCTTTTATTGTATCTCTTTTCCGAAATACAGTTTCCTCTTACAAAGGGTTTGTACTTGTACTTTATCCTATTCGTTAACACCTTTTGTCTTCGTTATCACTAATGATCACATACAAATATTCGAAACAGAATGTTGTAATAACCCAAACCTGCCGCCGAATTTGCACATGCGCACTCTGAACACAAGAAAACCGCGCAAATTCAAAAGAATAATTTGGCCAATGATCGTGAACGTCTAGCAAGGTTAGGACCTACGTTGTGTTACGTTAATATGGCGGCAGGCGGTTCAGATCTATAGCGAAGTGAGCAAACAAACGAGTGAGGGAAGAACACAGGTATAAAGACACATAAATTTTTTAACGGGAGGGCGCCTTTAATGTTTAACGATTACACAATAAACGAGTTAAACACATTGCAGTTTGCAATTACAATTATTTTGCGACAGATTTCGTCTTGTTTACTAAATTTAATATCATTGTGTTTACAAATTGTTAAAAAACAAGGTTCGGGTCCAAACCTCCCAGAAAGACACCGAACAGGCCCATTAAATTACATCTTTTCTAACAATAAATTTTACTTATAATTTTTGTACGCGGAACAATGACTCCCATTCGCACCTTCGCCGTGAAAAACAAAAAAAAAACGTAGCGCTTCGCCAGTGGAAGAACAGGAAGGTTATTTGACGTGCAAGGATATACAAGTGTCACAGTCGAGAGAGAGATAGAGGGGGAGAGAGAGAGAGAGAGATAGTTAGGGCCGGGGGAACGCCCCCCCGTCCAAAAGTTTCCTGTCCGGGCCCGCCGGCTTCGTGGCGCGATGTACCATTGACTACCGGCCGTTCCACGAGAAGCTGCTGTCCCCGAATACAACTGCCACCCCGTCTACAAGGTCCGATGGCCCCGCAGTAACCAGGTCGCTGCTCAGTAGTATCGTGTACCGTCCGATCAACGACGGGATCAAAGTCGGCGGTACATCACGCATCGATCACCCGCGGAACGGAAAAGAAAAAGGAACCGGACCTATCAATCATGCCTTGTACTAACGTGAAAAGAAGAGAAGTCAACTACAAAAGACACATAAAAAAACACCCGCGTTCAGGGCAGACGATAAACACACAAATTTAAAAATAATGGGTGGGGGATTTCCCCTGGGGTGCTTCCCCTATTGCCGTTTTGGCTTTTTGGCGAGTACATATTGGAAATTCAGCTGTAGGAACTAATAGTCACGTGCGCGTACATTAATTATTAGGTACATTTACACACACAAAAAAAAAAGAGAGAGAACGAGAAATGGGAGAGAGGGGGGGAGAAAGCTCTGCGCCACGGGTCGTAGTTGAGTGCAAGCGAATCAGATTACGAACAGAGGAGTCACTATTTTCACAGGCTCTAATTTACGTGTTACGACGACACTTCAATAAATAAAGAAGCCAATAACAAAGCGTCATCGTCGCGTCGGTCGCCATTTTGCTCTACGTGAAGCGTCACATGTTATCTCTTTCTAAATAATTCAAATAACAAAGATAGACAAACGCCACCATCGCGTCGGTCGCGATTTTCGCTTGTGCGCAGCGTCACTCGGTTTCTCTTTCTAGCTAACAAACGACAAAGACAGCAAAACGCCAGCGCCGCGTCGGTCGCCATTTTACTTTTCGTGAAGCGTCACAGGCTGTCTCTTTCTAACTAACGCAACTAACAATTACCCAATTACCCGGTATCCACCACCTAGCTACGCTAACCCAAAACAATGCTATTTACCCACGTTCTATGTCCGTCTTAAAATTAACCCTTCCGTTCCTAGCCCGCTTTGATACAACTTTCCGACACCTGACCGCGCGAACAACAAATTTATTATTATTATACGAACACCGCTTCCGCATGCATGCACACTTCTTACAATAATTTGCCTCTAACATCATATGTGATAATCGAGCCTACCAATAAGCCACCGAGTTGGGAAAGGGTTAATCCAATCGGCGTCCTTTCAGCTTCGGCACTTAAGTCGCAGTCGCCGTGCCGGCGTCGCACTAGATTTCACCTCACTGGGTAGGAAATAGTTTATTGGTACACCGCACCCGTCCCAAATGTCTCGGAGGAGTCGGTGGTTTCCTATTTCCAGACGAAAAACTCCAGAAAAACACAAAGATTGACACCAGTAATTTGTTCGATCTTGCACCCTTGAAGGTAGTACTCTGACTGACTTCTCTCCCTTCCTTTTCGCCTCGTATCTCCGCATCCCCCGGTACGTCTCGTACCACCCAACAGATGGCGTACCAAGTATCGTTCTGGGATAAATTCGGATGTTGCTTTGGCGCTGATTTTGTTTCGATTTAAATTTAAAGCGGGATATCACAATGTTGAGAGATAGGTAGCAAAATCTACAGGTTTCTTGAACCACTAGTGGAAACTGTATCTAAGTATTCCTTCCTTAACCCCTATTTATGACTAATTTATAAAATTGCCCCATACACAGAAACTGATGGTTTTTTTAAGAGCCCCTTAGACCTCTTGAAAAAAAAAAAAAACCATTTTGAACATGATAAGGTCGTCTAAGTTAAGATCTAGCCAAAATTATTCATTTTCTTTTTCGGTATCATGTTTGTGTAGAATGCAATAAGCTCTCAAAATAAGGATTACTCGCTCTCCCTATGCGATTTAAATTTTGGACCCATGTTTTGACAATTTTGACATTTCAACGTCACATCCCGTCCCTATTATATCATTTTTCATGCCATACGTTTTAAATGTCGAAGCTGTACCTCCAACGGTTCCAAGGTTGTTCATTTTATAGACGATCTCAAAAACGACACAAATAAACACATAACTTACAAAATTTATACATATTAAAAATTAAAAAATATTAAATGAAACATCACATGAATAATTATTTAAATATTAATCTTATCTTGTTTCAACTGATGAACGAATCGAGTCTAAGATTATAAAATCTGTAGACTTGAAGATAACTCGGCAACCTTCTATACATTCGTCAAACATTTATAATTTGATTTTTAATCATAACAAATATCTCGAAGCTTGAAAACAACCATACAGTTGAGATAAGATATAAAATTCAATTATTTGTGATATGTCCTCAGTGTAATAGAAAATGACTCCTACTACCGGTAATTACCCTACACTAGAATTATCTTTTCCACTGTGTTGACATTATTGTATTGTTTTCCTCGTCCTTTGTGCAGTAACTGTATCAACGTTATATAATATTGTGCAATTTACAATTATAATTCAAATTATTGAGTCAAAGCAGATTTCATTCTATGCTGACAAATTACAAATGCTTGCCAATCGGTCAGATGTATTTAATTACTTAATGAGTTAACTGTCAGACTAATGTTTTGGAAAAGTATCATATATAAATATTAAGTATGTAATTGTCGTTTTTGCCAAAAGACACCCAGATTAGTAAAGCTGGAATATATTTTTTAATGCTGTTTTATAGTTTTAAATATGTATTTAAAAATTCTGAAAACTTGTTTTGAAAATAATCAGGATCATACTTTGGTCTCGTGGGATGTACACTCGTGCAGATACTTAATTAAGTCTAGAACTTTCCAAATACGTTTGATAAGGAAAATGTTCTAGATCACCGGCATAGATAAAACTATAGTCACGCCTTCAAACATATGTGAAACGTGATGTAATAATGGAAACTTTGTTTTTCAAAATAATTCATTTTTATGACTGCGATTGAAGAAAATTTAAAGTTTATAATTAATCTGTTTAGCTGATAGTAGTTTAGTATTATTATTTATGATACTTCACGTTGTGTTAGATTAATTATACTTCTGAATCATAACATCTTGCCCAACTGTAAAATTTTATGTCTTGAACACAACTGATTACAATAATTTTGCAAACCGAACTTAATAATAATAAATCATAGAGCGTGTTTATGATATCTCGTAACTATTGAAATCGTAAAAATAAGTACCACTTACATTTTAATAAAACTGAACTCTTTAATTTATTATTTGCCAGGCTTGCCTAATGAAACGGATTTGTAATTGGCCCTTTACTGACTGTCATGGGCTGTTTATATTTATTACAGGAAAAGAAATTTTTATGTGCATTGACATTATCACAACCGGAAAGAGAGGACAACTGAACGTTGTCCAGGTCACAACAATTTTATAAGTGCACATTTCCTCATAACAGTAAACATTACCTATATTTAGAGAATATAAACTTCGTAATCAAAACATTTAAAAAATCAGGACCTTTTTGCTTAACATACAATCCGGAATCTTATTAGAATGCAGTTATCAACTTTCGTGTTCATTGATTTTTGCTGTTTACATGCATTTACATCAATTTCGTTTTATTACTTTACTAACAAAATAAACGCTACCAACTAACAAGATATTCCGCGGAGATAAAAAACAATTCAATCATTGTCATTTGGAAACCTCAGCTGCTCGTCGAAATTTTTATGCGCAAAGAATTTAGATCAAAGCATGACCACAAATCAGGTTTTTATAGATCCTCCACGAGAACCTGCCAACCAACAAACCTTGTAAATGCACTATCGATGCTAATCTCTTCATTATTCGCAGATAATATTTGAGGACAACAACCTCCACTTGGTAACAGCCATTGGCACAAAAATGGTATCATGGCGAATGAACGGACTAAAGAAGCGATCGCTGTGGTAACCCCCTATGTTCATCTCATGATTGTTTATCACATGAACAATGTCTCCTCCATAATCTTTTGTTTAGTGACCGAAAATAACTTATTATTGTTCTAGTAAATTTATCCGTGATTCATTATCATGACATTGTTGATTAAAAAATCACCTTGTCTGTTGTTGGAAAATAAAACGCAAAACTGAATTCTAGTAATTTCGACAATACATTTGAAGGTGAAACACATACTTACTTATAATTTTCGATGATCCACTGTTGCACACCTGAACAATTAATTCAAGTATTTTGGCAAATTTAAAGGTCTAGGAAAGTATCACATTTGTAAACAGTGATGGTGCTGTGGATTAGTTTAGTTTTTATAACGGAATTTTGGTGAAAATTGATATTGAACTCAATAAATTAGGAGAGCATTTTAATTAGCCAAATAAATTGCGACAGCTTAACAACATAATACTCATGGAATTTTTTTTATCACATCATGCGTGTTTTTCTTTGTGTATCTAATTCATTAATTGTGATTTTAATATTTACGTGCTAATAGGCACTGCAAAGAAAAAATCACGTACAGAGTGTCTGTACAGAAAGCAAAGTGATATGAAATAAAAATAAAAATAAAAATGAATATAAATAAATAAAACTCACCAGAAACTATACCAACGTTTGTATTCTAAATAAGATTCCCTTTAAGGTTTCTCTAAAAAGGTCAGGTCTTAATGACGTAATAGGAAACTTACAACTTACATAACGTCAATTAGGACCCCTGTGTCGTTTCTTTCGTTTTTTCCTTTGTTAAATCACGCAAACGCTAACATCTTAAATGTCGATATCATTACAATTTATTTAACTATCTCCTAAGTTTAAAATGTGTTTTATTTCGTCCATGCGGCAAGTGTAACAGTGACAAATAATACAAGTTGTTTTATGTTATTTTTTCTACAGAGAAATTTAACGTCATTGTTTAAAAAAAATCATCAAAATAAATTTAGTTATTTTGACAGCCTTAAGTGACACCCATGCAACTTACTGTCAAATCTTTGCACAACGAGCTGCGACAAATACATATCAAGTTTGCCGTTAAATTAAAAAGAAATAAGATTTGTGCTTTCGTTCTTCCCACCTCGTTTTTGGTGTTTTGAACAGCTGAGCAGGTGTTCATATTAAATCAGGTTTCAGACGAAATGTACGTTTACGTTACAGATTTGACACTTTATGAAGACACAAATACCAACCCACAAATCGTTTTAAGACAGTCTACTAAAACATTGTTTTCAATAACTTGTTCGAAATTCTTGCTATATAACACAAGTGCAGTTTTTAAAAAAGTTTGTCGTTATTCTTTTTAAAATTTTGGTAAAGTTTTTGATCACTTATCTTAAAGTCAATATCTCAGTGTTTTCAGATTACAGGATTTAGACATTACAGGAGAAACATTGTAGACTTTTTTCGTCGAAAGTACTATATTACACAAGTAGATTACATTAACAAAGAATGTCCTTTTTTTAATAAAAATCTTGAACATTCAGGCTCACGACAAATCCAACATTCACGTATTTATGAAGACATATATTTAGATGCCAAATAATAATTGAATTATTGCCACTGGTCAAATAAAGTTAGAAAAGCTTCAATAAGCACTCAACTATAACATTTACATAAATAATTTCTACACCTGACTTAACTCGTTTACATTAGGAGTTTACACCTTTTTACATTCGATAATGGCTTTTCATTGTCACAATGGTGATAAACAACATGCTAGTTAGCAATAAATACTTTGTAGTAAAGAACAAAAAAAAAACACCTATGTACAGTAGAATCCGAATGACTTGTTCTATGGTGTTTCTTAATAATTGATCAGAAATTAAAATTATGGCAATGATAATTTACAGCCCTCTGACCTTCGCTGCGATTGGTTTCCTGAAAGAAGCAAAGGTTCTATGAACCAAACAGTGGAAAGTCGATTGTTTACTACTTTTTTAGAGTGTAGAAAGAGTCACACCAAAAACCGACGGTTATTAAAAACGACATTTAACAACAAAATAATGTTAGGTTAGAAAACATTTTCGCATTTTAGTACAAATCTGCTTAAAGTAGTAGGTAAGTTTAGAAAAAGTTGTCAAGTCAAATGTCGATCCGACTGTATTTGAGATAGTAATGATGAAACCATCCATGCTCTAGAGTATATTCGGTTGCCTACTTAGTTTTCAAAAAGAATTACATATAAATGAACCGAAAATAATAATTCAGTGAATTAAGTAAAATCCAGTGTTCACTAATTCCTAGTCTGTACTCTTCATTTTTGAGTCATCCTCTGCCTGTAAATCTAAAAAATTATAGATATATATATTAAGAAAACAAACAAACCGCACCATTATATATATTTCTTAACGGTGTGTAAATAAATATTACAGCAGTGGCGGCTCCTCAGTGGAGGCAAGGGAGGCTGAGCCTCCTCTGTTTTTTGGAGCTGGGCTTCCTCTAATTTTTTCGATGAAAGAAATTGTATTTTTGTAGACATTTGTTACTTTTCAGGATATTTTGTTTGATTTAATTTACTTTCATCATATATCAGGTTAAAATGTTGAAAAAAAATTATATTTGCGCCCTTACAATCATAATTCACACCACTCCGCGTTTGGCTCCAGCGGTAGAAGCTAGCCTCCGCCGAGAATGCATCATGCTATTGAGACCGTAAACCTTGACGCATCGTTATTCGGTACTGCATTGGCTAAAACGTTGATCGGGGTGCCGCTTCAGGCCGCTAGCCTCCGGCTAGTTCATCTCTTTTCTGATCAAGTCGCACGGATAATTTTATCTTTTTCTTATTAATTGGCTCTATCGGGTGTAAATAGGAAAAACATTGAGGTGGTTTCGCGTGCTCCCTATTCAGTGGTGAGTGGTATTTAGGCTTTACGTAGTACCTACGTAAAGCGTAAGGTGTTTTTTGTATCATTTATTTGCATTTTATTTCTGATCGTTAAAAACAGTTGGTATTATATATTAATATTACTTATACTTAATGAGAATGAGCAACGAAAATAATTCGGTTTCATGTGCAGATACGTAAATTATCTATTAAAAAATTAATTTAGTAGATTTGATTGTTATAAAAAGATAGGTATAAACAAAAGAGGAGACCAACACCACCACTTCCATTAATGGTAATAACAGGTAGAAAGCAAAACAGAGCATTTCATGAAAATAATTATAATAAAACTAGATAGTTAACGGCTTCGGTTTTAAGAAACAAATTATACTGTTGGAATTGTGTATTATTCACAAGTGATAAATCTTCCGTTTGGGATAAAACAGGCTATAATAATTTACAAAATTTGTCAAGAGCTATAGAAAGGCATGAAAAATCACATCTACTATTTTAGATTCCGCTCATAAGAGGGATATTGAGAACTATAACGAGAAAGTTGGTGAAAATAGGGCAATTTTGAAAAGACTAATCGATGCAATAGTTGATTTATCTATCAACGCAGGAGTGTTTTTTCGTGGGCATGACAAAAAAAATTATTCAGATAATGAAAGATATAAAAAGTAGTGCTTTTCAAATTTGAGCCTCCTCTGAAGAAAACTTCACGAGCCGTCACTGTATTACAGACAATATTCAACAATCGTTAAATTAATTTTGGTGTACCTATTACGAAAATTCCAAGGAGATTTGTTATTTAGTGTCACGGGTCGACAGAAAATGTAATTGTAGAATTATTTTTTACAGAAAACCTACAGTCGTGAAAATAAAAATAAAGACGGATTTTTCGTCCACGTTTTATTCGCTTAACAAAATTTTGAGATTACGTTTCAAGGACTTTTCAATGATTTTACAATTTTGGAATAATTGATGTAGAAAACATGAAACTTGACACTTTTTTGACAGTTTGAAAAAACAATGATAAATGGAGCACATTTTTGTGAATTTATCGTAAACTCGTAACGTTACCATCAGCTTCAACCAAGATTGTAGCCAATATCTTTTCAAAAACAAACAACCGGTGTATTTATTAGGGTACGGAAATCTTAGGGAATACACGAAATAGTTTAGTGTTTTTCCGGAGCTATTTCAGAAGGTTAAACTAAACAAACATTTGCTTGCTTGTAATTCATGAATAAACACCACTAACGTAGCACGGTATACTTTCTCATACGATATACATAGAGCATAACCACAATTTATTTTTTAGCTAATAATGATCGGCATGTCTTCTTATCAGTGATTTAATGAGTTATGTACCATTAATTATTATTATTTTAACTAAAATTTCCTGACGAAAAGCACCAGTATGTCCAAACAGGTGTCACAATTTTCAAAGAATTTGATTTCTACCTTCATTGTGTGTCGTTTGACATTTCTTTCTACTGACAGCAGAAACTCCATCGTATGTGAGACCAAAGAGTTGACACCTTGTTTTCAGTATCAATATTAATATAGTATCAAAATTTAATTTTGTGTGTTATTTTTTGTGCAGGGTTTCTATTATAAATGATTATAGGGTCGAAGGACTCCATGGAAGCGTGCCGCCTATCACTTTATGCGAATTTTATCAAATGCCCAAGAACTGACGACAAATTTCAGACGCATCTGTACAACTGGTTGCCTAAATTCTTCATATCTTATTAAAAAATACAATAATGTAATTCATTACAATAAAAGCAAACAAATTTACTGTGATGTTGTGCGGAGTTTGCCTCAGGCGTCTATTGACTTCTACTAATTTTTATGAGGGCTTAACCACCCACTTGTCTACTTACCCCGAGTAATACAGACGGCAGTAAAATTTTCAATCTCGACAAACTCCCTCCCAGTCATCTCCACTGCGACAAGTTTACAAGAGTCTTTAGTTAAGCCCTCATAAAAATTTATGGAAGTCAATAGACGCCTGAGGTAGACTCCGCACAAAAATTCTGGTCAAAGTATATATAACTGCATAATAACGGCAGTCAATTTCAAAAATCACTCAGAGTAGGAGTTGGAATATCATTTGACAGAAACGGCATGTCTGTTAGTTCTTATAACACAACATAGATACAACAGGTTATGTTCCTCCAAATTTATGTTATAAGAACAGACATGCCGTTTCTGTCAAATGAAATTCCAACGCCTACGCTGAGTGATTTTTCATCTGAACATACGTTATATGTATATGTTACGGTTAAAGTGAATACTCGGCTAGTTTCCAAACTATCTA